GAGTCTCGCTCTGTCGCCCAGGCTAGAGTGAAGTGGCACGAATCTTGGCAGTAAGCCAAGATCGCGCAACTGCACTCCAGCTGGGTGACAGAGCGAGAGCTGTCTCAGAAAAAAAATTAAAAATTAGCTGGACATGGTGGTACACCTGTGTAGCCCTGGCTACACAGGAGGCTGAGACAGGAGGATTGCTTCAGCCCAAGAGGTTGAAGCTGCAGTGAGCTATGATCGGGCCACTGCACTACAGCCTAGGTGACAAAGCGAGACCCTGTCTCAAAAAAATTTTTTTTCTCAATGTCTATAAATAAAGTTTTATTGGCACCTGGCCCCTGCCATTTGCATGTGTCAGCCCTGTGGCTGCTTTAGTACTACAATAGCACGTTGAGTCACCCCGACAGAGGAGGTCTGTCTGCAAAGCCTGCAAAGCCAAAAATATTTACTATCTGCCCCTCTGTGCAAAACGTGTGCTGAACAGTGTGGTGTATGGCAGGTCGAGTCCAGGGCCACAGGGAAGGTCTGAGGTCTGTGTGCTGGAGGGGAGGCAGGAGTGGACATGGAATGAGAGGATGACATGGAAGAGGTGGCTTGCCAAGGCTTGTCCTTCACCATAAGCACGGAGTGTGGTAAGGATGATCTGCCGGTCACTGCGCCCAAAATAGTCCAGGACAGGACAGAGAAGTAAGACAGAGAGGTGGCTCCAGGACAGCAGAAGCCCTGCCTGGCAGCCCAGACACCTTGGGCATTATTGTTTAAAAAAAAGAAAGGTTCATGCCTGTAATCCCAGCACTCTGGGAGGTTGAGGTGGGAGGATCACTTGAGCCCTGGAGTTCCAGACCAGCCTGGGCAACATAGTGAGACCCCCGTCTCTACAAAAAATGATAAAATATTAGCCGGGCGTGGTAGCTCATGCCCGTAATCCCAGCACTTTGGGAGGCCGAGGCAGGTGGATTGCTTGAGCCCAGGAGTTTGAAACCAGCCTGGGCAACATACTGAGACCCCGTTTCTGTTTTTGTTTTTATTTATTTTATTTATTTATTTTATATATTGAGAAATAAATAATAAATATTATTTATTTATATTAGCTCTGTCGCCCAGGCTAGAGTGAAGTGGCACGATCTCGGCTCACTGCAAGCTCCACTTCCCAGGTTCAAGCGATTCTCCTGCCTCAGCCTCCCAAGCAGCTGAGATCACAGGCATGCACCACCACGCCCAGCTAATTTTTTTATTTTTAGTAAAGACGGGGTTTTTACTAAACCCATGTTGACCAGGCTGGTCTCGAACTCCTGATTTCAGGTGATTCACCTGCCTAGGCCTCTCAAAGTGCTGGGATTACAGGCATGAGCCACCATGCCCACCTGTGAGACCCTGTTTCTGCAAAAAATTAGCCAGGCATGATGGCACACGTCTGTAGTACCAGATACTTGGGAGGCTGAGGTGTGAGGATCCCTTGAGCCCAGGAAGTCGATGCTGCAATGAGTTACGATTGCATGACTGCACTCCAGGCTGGGCAACAGGGCAAGACCCTATCTCCAAAAACAAAAAAACAAAAAACAACAACAAAAAAACCCAACAACAACAACAACAACAAAAAAAAACAAGAAGGGGAACAGTAGCCATAGGGTAACCAAAGTAACCAACTGAAAAACGGAAGATGATAAGGGTTGGCGAGGATGTGGAGAGAGCAAAACCCTTGTGCTCTGCAGTGGGAAATGGAACACGGTGAGCATGGGGAGAAACAGTCTGGCCATTTCTCAGAATTAAACATGGAATTATAGGCGGGGCCCGGTGACTCACACCTGAATTCCCAGCACTTTGGGAGGCCGAGGCAGGTGAATCACCTGAGGGCAGGAGTTCGAGGCCAGCCTGGCCAACATGGAGAAACCCCATCTTTACTAAAAACACAAAATTAGCCGGGCGTAGTGGCACATGCCTGTCATCCCAGCTACTCGGGAGGCTGAGGCAGGAGAATCGCTTGAACCCGGCAGGCGGAGGTTGTGGTGAGCGGAGATTGCGCCACTGCCCTCCAGCCTGGGCAACAAGAGTGAAACTCCACCTCAAAAAAA